AGATCCACCTGGAAAGTTGAAATAGACAAGATAGCCAGACAAAATTGGGAGCACAGAGGTGGGGGGAGAAAGGAGAGTAGACAGGGAAAAGGAGGGAAGAAGGGGAGGGGTGAGGAGAATTTGAGGGAATGGGATAGTCAAGATAGAGGAAGAACAGAGATGAGTGCAAAGAAAGAGATATCTTGATTGAGGGAGCCATTATGAAGTTAGCAAGAAACCTGGCACTAGAGAAATTCCCAAGAATCCACAAGGATGACCCCAGCTAAGACCCTAAAGAATAGAGGAGAGGATGCCTGAACTGGCCTTGCCCTGTAGTAGACTGATGAATATCTTAAATAGCACCATAGAACCTTCATCCAGTAACTGATGGAAACAGAGGCAGAGACCTGCATTGGAGCACTGGACTGAGCTCCCATGGTCCAATTGAAGGGTGGGAGGAATGAGAATATGAGCAAAGAGATCAAGACCATAATGGGTACACCCAATGAAACAGTTTGCCTGAGCTAATGGGAGCTCACCAACTCCAGCAGGACAGGGAAGAAACCAGCATAGTAACAAACTAGTCTCTCTGAATGTGGGTGACAATTAAATTGCTGGGGCAGACTGAGGGGCCACTGACAGTGGCACCGGGATTTATCCCAACTGCTTTTACAGGCTTTTTGGGAACCTATTCTTTTTGGATGAATACCTTGCTCAGCCTAGATATGAGAGGGAGGGCCTTGAACCTTCCCTAAAGCAATGTGCCTTACCCTCTCTGAGGAATGAATGGGGAGGTAAGTAGGGGGAATGGGAGGAGGGAAGGGTGTGGGAACTGGGGTTGGTATGTAAAATGAAAAGAAGATAGTTTGTTTTTTTTTTAATTTTTTTTAAATTTATTTATTTATTAAGGATTTCTGCCTCGTCCCCACAACCGCTTCCCATTTCCCTCCCCCTCCCCCGATCAAGTCCCCCCCCCCTCATCTGCTCGAAGAGCAATCAGGGTTCCCTGACAGTTGTGCCGGGCAGTGATGGCGCACGCCTTTAATCCCAGCACTAGGGAGGCAGAGGCAGGCAGATCTCTATGAGTTCGAGGCCAGCCTGGACTACAAGAGCTAGTTCCAGGACAGGAATCAAAAAGCTACGGAGAAACCCTGTCTCGAAAAATCAAAAAAAAAATAATAAAAAAATAAAGTTGTCATTTTCCAACTTGAAAATGCAATACAAAACTTTGCATGTCAATGTTGAAACTTGAGTTTTATGATGCTTCATTTGCACATCATTTACATATTTATTTATTCAATCTTTGCTTTGAATTAGGATTTAAGTTGTCTTCACTAGCCATCCTCAAGACTGTTCCATAATGGCTCCTTATTACCACCCCTGCAATAATTCTTGAAGTTGTTGACTCTTTTCTTGATGGAAGTCATTCTCACTAGAAGGGGATGCAATTTTTATTTCTGCTTCACCAGTGGCTAAGGATTTTGAGAGCATTTCAACTACTTATTGGTCATTTAGACTTTATTATTTAAGAAAAGTCTGCAATTCATTGACCGCTACTGATTGAACTGGGGAGTGTGTGTTTCTGTTATTCAGCTTTTGAATTTTTTATGTATCTTAGATACTAATCCTTTGTCAGATTAATTTTTGGCAGAGACTTTCTCCCATTCAGTAGGCCATCTCTTTACTCTAAGTAAGCCTTTTATTTTGATCCAATTCCATTAATCAAAACTTGATTTTGTTCCCTGAGCTATTTAGAGTTTTATTTTCGAGACAGAGTTTCTCCGTAGCTTTTTTTTTTTTTTTTTTTGGTTCCTGTCCTGGAACTAGCTCTTGTAGAGCAGGCTGGCCTCACCTGCTTCTGCCTCCCGAGTGCTGGGATTAAAGGCGTGCGCCAACACCACCGGGCTCAGGAAGCTATTTTCTATGTGCAGAGGGGAAGTGTTTGTGAGAACCCATGGTCCTCACCTTTAGTAAGAAGACTGGAGACTGGAGCGTGGAAGATGAAGCACTTTCATTTACTATGCTGCAAAGCTAGGTATCAGGCTGGGATGGCAGGCTGCTCATTTAGTGCAGGGAAGAATAGATAAAAACTGGACCTGTAACTCTTTCCCTCCCTTTGAGATAATCAGGAAGATATACTTTTATATATCATCTAGATCTTAAGTTTTCTCAACAAAAAACCATGTGTGAGGGCATCTCTATATTTTACATAGTTTATTTTAAACTTAACATAGACATGACCTTGCACCGGTACTTTTCTGCTCTGAACTACTTTGGGTATGGGAAAGGATTTTAGTGGACAACTACTATAACTTGATGCTGCTTTTTTAAAAATTTATTTACTTATTAAAGATTTCTGTCTCTTCCCCACCACCGCCTCCCATTTCCCTCCCCCTCCCCCAATTAAGTCCCCCCCCCCGTCAGCCCGAAAAGCAATCAGGGTTCCCTGTCCTGTAGGAAGTCCAAGGAACCCCCACCTCCATCCAGGTCTAGTAAGGTGAGCATCCAAACTGCCTAGGCTCCCACAAAGCCAGTGCGTGCAGTAGGATCAGAAACCCATTGCCATTGTTCTTGAGTTCTCAGTAGTCCTCATTGTCCGCTATGTTCAGAGTCCGGTTTTATCCCAGGCTATTACAGACTCAGGCCAGCTGGTCTTGGTGAGTTCCCAGTAGAACATCCCCATTGTCTCAGTGTGTGGGTGCACCCCTCATGGTCCTGAGTTCCTTGCTCGTGCTCTCTCTCCTTCTGCTCCTGATTTGGACCTTGAGATTTCAGTCCTGTGCTCCAATGTGGGTCTCTGTCTCCTTTCATCGCCTGCTGAAGGTTAATATTCAGGAGGATGCCTATATGTTTTTCTTTGGGTTCTCCTTATTTAGCTTCTCTAGGATCACTAATTATAGGCTCAATGTCCTTGGTTTATGGCTAGAAACCAAATATGAGTGAGTACAACCCATGTTCCTCTTTTTGGGTCTGGCTTACCTCACTCAGGATAGTGTTTTCTATTTCCATCCATTTGCATTCAAAGTTCAAGAAGCCCTTGTTTTTTACTGCTGAGTAGTACTCTAATATGTATATATTCCATACTTTCTTCATCCATTCTTCTATTGAAGGGCATCTAGGTTGTTTCCAGTTTCTGGCTATCACAAACAATGCTGCTATGAACATCGTAGAGCATATACTTTTGTTGTATGATAAGGCCTCTCTTGGGTATATTTCCAAGAGTGGTATTGCTGGGTCCAGGGGTAAGTTGATCCCAAATTTCCTGAGAAACCGCCACACTGCTTTCCAAAGTGGTTGCACAAGTTTGCATTCCCACCAGCAATGGATGAGTGTACCCCTTTCTCCACAACCTCTCCAACAAAGGCTATCATTGGTGTTTTTTATTTTAGCCATTCTGACAGGTGTAAGATGGTATCTTAAAGTTGTCTTGATTTGCATTTCCCTGATCGCTAAGGAAGTTGAGCATGACCTTAAGTGATGCTGCTTTTTTATATAGTCCTTATATTTTATGCTTTCTTTTTTATTTACTTTTGAAATTTTAATTTAATTACATTTTCCCTTTCCTTTCCAACCTCCAAACCCTTTCATATATTCTTTTCTCTTTTCTGCTCTCCTTCATGTTCATGGCCTCTTTTTCATTAACTGCTATATTTCTAAATATAACCTTCCAGTCCATATAATGTTACTTTATGCATCTTTCCACAATTGATTGTTTGGCACTGGACAACCAACTGATGTGCTCCTCTGGGGAGGACCACCCCTTCCACTCCCAGCCTTACTCAGTTTCCTGTAGTTCTCTGTGTAGGGTTGAGACCTTGTGGACTTCTCCACTTCCAGTTTAGTTTGTTCGTTGGTTGTCATCTTTGCTCTGCTCACACTTGGCCAGTTCATATATGAACAAAACTTCTGATGTTACTAGGAGATACAATCTTACAGCAAATACACTGATCCTCTGGCTCCTACAATATTTCTGGCCGCTCTTCCATAATGTACCTTAAGCCATAGGTGTGGGAGATGTATCCTTGTAGATGTATCCACTGGGATTTTGTCCCATAACTCTATATGTTGACTGGCTGTGATTTTCTCCATCTGTTACAAAGAGAAATTTCCTTAATGAGGGGTGATGACTACACTTATCTGTGGTTGTAAGGACTAATGTTTATAGATTGTTGTTAGTGATTATTTTGGTTTAGCAAATTAGTAGTTAGAGATGCTCTCCCAGTAACCATTAAATAGCTAGCTAGGTTTCTAGTACTAGGCATAGTACACTTTTTGTGGAGAGGTGTTTAAATCCCATTAGAGGCATGTGTACCACTATTTTTTACAAATGCAATGAAACATTTTATAACTCATTAATTTTTACAATTATTTTACAGTAAGGCTTTAAAGATTACATTTTTTCATTGATAAAGCTACAATAACAGTTCTTGATTAATGGCAACTAATAATGGCAGCTTTTTAAAATATAGAAGTTGGGTCGCATTTTTTATATGTGTTGGCACATTTTATTTTAAATTACTAAAGAGCTTCCTCTTTTCAGAAATATTTCCCCTCTTCCTAAGAAGAAGCATTGGTGCTTGTGAGAACCAAAACGCATTCTTTTGATGTAATCACTGAGTAGTTTCAACACAACGGAACTCCTGGAATTAAAAGCAAAACAATTCTTAGAATAATTTTCCTAGTTACTTGAAAAAAAATGCAGTTGATGGACAAGTTAGCCCAGCTCTCTTCTTCTCCAATTGTACCTCTTCTATTTTCTTTATCACCACCTCACAGTTGGTGGACCAGTTAACCCACCTCTCTTCTTCTCCCACTGTACCCCCTCTATTTTCCATCATCACTTCCTCCAGGGAAAACAATGTATGACGTTAGTTTCTGAAAAAACTTTCAAGTAACCAGATGTCACACAATTTATAGTCAATGGATTTCTAAGGAGACCACACCAGTGTATCATGACATGCCTGTCATGTCAAGAAAGTTTGGAGAAGGTTCAGATTTTTGTAGAAGCTGTGAGCACTGTGATAGCTCGGGCTGGAGCAAGGTATTTGCAGAAGGAACGAAGCTCATAGTAATCCCTCCTGGTAAGTAACTTTTTCCTGCTTCATTCCAGTGATGAAAAGTATATGTATGTATGTATGTATATATATATATATATATATTTGTAGAGAAAGACCAGAAACCATGATGAGCTACTGTACCTGACTACAATGTTCTTAGCCTGAGTCATTTTCAGGATAGATTATTGAATATGACAGCAAAAACTACTTTATAAAAGGTTTCTTCTTTCCACCCGTAAGACATTGAAATTATATTTAGAATAGTAGCACATACAAAGAGTAAGTGGAAGTCATTCCAAGGATCATGTGCATAGACGATTGGGGTAAATTATTGCTTCGGGATAGTGTTGTCTTTTAGCTGAATCCTCAGAATGAAGGTTTGTTGATGGCTTGTCTGTGAAGTCTGGAATACAACTAGTGCTCCATTCTCCAGACAAACTGGAGATCATTATTACTGATTTTGATCATAATTCACAGCAAATTACTATAGGACATGAATAAATCCCCTTCTTATTTGTCTGACTTCATGTTGGGTCACAATTTATGTCACTCTGCTTCTTGAAATATTACTTGGAGCTTTCTGTAAGAATTTGTAGTTTGTGCAAACTGTTTCTGCCTGGTGTTTATGTAAATGGCCTTTCACGGTTTTACATCTTTATGTGACCATTATTTCCCTCAAGGAAGCTTAGGATAGTTTTATAGTCCAATTTTTTTCCTGTGTCTTTACTTTTTGATAAGAACACATTTGTTGTCTAATTATTAGTAGTTCTGCCCAAGCACATGATTATTGCTTTTATTTTTTTTTTGAAAATTTCTCTCTGAAAAAAAAAAAGTCTCAATTAACTTGAAATTGCATTCTAGACTGAGAACTGATTTATAAATGACAAACCTTTAAGGGAGAAACAGCTGGAAAATCTTGTAAAAAATAAAATAAAACTTATGGGAATAAGACACAAGCTGCAAGGCAGAGTTAGATTCCTGGTTGGATATGGGTTGAATCACTTTGGAGTTCCTTCATGTTCGGTAGGAGAATGAAATGTGTTGTCACAGGTAGATTTGGAATGAATATGTTTTCAAAGTAATTGAAGGAAGGCAAGGCATGGCCATAGTGAAGTGGAGGTGATGATGTTTAGAGAGAAGAGGGCTGTGAGCAGGATTTCCTGAAGCACTTTCCAGGATATTGCAATTACAAATGTTGATATGAAGAACACTTGTGCAAACATCTTGTATAATGCTTGCAGATATTCAGACTTCCATAAAACATTCATATATCATGACAAAAGTCATTATTAAAGCATTTGACACTGGTGTGGGGTTTATTGTTACAAACAAGTCTATGATAGACTCAATGGACAGTAGCCTTCATGTTTCTCCAGGTCTAGTGTACTGTGAACAAGTCTAGGCTTTGAACTCAGTTATGGAGCTATAACCTCTCCACTTGTTCCTTGTGATTTTTCACTTAGTGTTAGTTGTCGATACTCATACTCGGCTTTTTCATCCTCCTCCCTATTTAATCCCATTCTAGTTTTCTCTTTATCCCTTAATAGCATTATATTCTACTTTTCCTTCCTTGGAAGATCCCTTCTCTCCATGGCCCCTTACTAGGTAGTTATCCACTGAAGCACCTACATTCAACACACTAGGAATAATTTGGAGGCACAGCTACAGCTAAATGCTCAACTCCAAAACTAGGAGTGGTTCTCATGTGAGGCTGGGATGCTTCCTAAAAGTAGAGAGCAATTAGGAGATCCCTGAGAACTTCAAACTGAGAAAGTGATCCGCAACCTCAGCTAGCAGATCTATTCAATTGATTGCAATTACACATGGAAGGATATTTCCATTACATAAGGGACCTCATACAGCTACAATGAAAAATTGAAAGCTACCTCCTGACATATATTCCACTGAGCTCTAAGGAAAGCAGGACACATAAATGGACAGTGGATTGCACTAAATTGCCAGAGAACAAGGTCACAAAGGATGGGGAAGGGAAGCATGTTAGGAATGACAAGAAACCTTCATCTGTATAATGATGTCTCCTCACCCTACCATCCATCCTCCCAGATGAATGGCTATTTCACCACACCACGAGAAAACAGGTAGTGTAAAGACAGAAGTTGTTCCTAACCATTCAATATTGTGTTTATAATGATATGTAATAATTATTTTGAGTGACTGGATTTAGTGGTGCACTAGCACTTGGGAGGCAGAGGCAGGAGGACCAGGATCAGAAGGAGGCCATCCATGGGTACATAGCAAGTCGGATGATACAATGGGCTACCTGAGATTCTGTCTCAGAAATAATAACTACTATTCTCATGATTATTATTTTTATTGATTTTCCATTTTATCTTACAGACAAAAGGTTTGATACAGACATTTCCCCCAAGCCTACCATTTTCCTTCCTTCCGTTGCTGAAACGAATCTCCATAAGGCTGGGACATACCTTTGTCTCCTTGAGAAATTCTTCCCTGATGTTATAAGGGTATACTGGAAAGAAAAGGATGGCGATAAGATCCTGGAATCCCAGGAAGGGAATACACTGAAAACCAATGACACATACATGAAGTTTAGCTGGCTTACCGTGACTGCAGAGTCAATGCATAAAGAGCACAGATGCATTGTCAAACATGAGAACAATAAGAAAGGAGTTGATCAAGAGATTTCCTTTCCTCCAATAGAGAAAGGTATGTGCACATATCCTTTGAAATATAGCTTTCTAGAAAATGTGTTTGAAAATATCCAGGTTTTTTATCATGTATTAATAAAAATCAACATAAGACATTTAACAGGGCCACTGCATGCATTTTATCATGTACTTTACCAAAAATACTAAGATGGCAGAGGCTTTGGCTTAGGTTTTTCTAAATCTATCATTATTATCCAAAATATCCATATTTGATTCTTTCTTTCTTTTTTCCTTTCATCCTTCCTTCTTTCCTTTCTTTTTCCTTCCTACCTTTCTTTTCTTTCTTTTTTCTTTCTTTCTAGAAATTGTCAATTTTATTTTTTAAAAATGACACAATAAGCAATTAAGTACATGATAAATGCTAAAATGGAGGCTCCGCTTTTGATGACTTAATTAAGAATATTCTGCCAAGCAAACAAAATCATTTACTTTAATCTTATTGTGTACAAAGTTCAGGTCTCCAACACTGATGCTTAGAAACTGGTGCCTTAGTTAACGACATATTCAAATGAAAGAGTTAAAGCTTATTACAAAAAAAGAAGTGAACTTAGCAGCCTTGAAATCTTCAGATTTTGGTTGCTGATGTATGTATAACTGTCATATAGGATATCATAATTAAAAATCGAGTAAGGATAGTGGTTGCACGCATGCTTCATAACCAATGCTTCTCCTGACATTTCAATGCATTTCAGAAAGCCCACATAGGCCTGAACAGGGATGTGGATGGGGAGACCAGGATTAGCATGTCAGTGTCCCAACATGGAGGGGGCTGTACAGTGATGAATGCATACTCTTTCCAACTTACTCAGAATAAATCAGATGCAAGGTCCCAAAGGATCCCTTAATTCAGTGGGTACAAAGCTGCACGTCCAGGCAGAGGATTGAATGTACAAAGGGCCTAGAGCTGGTCTTGCAATTAATGTCACAACTGCTGGCATTGAATAATAGTCTCAAGCCCCAAGGACCTTCTGAACTTACGAGGAATGAGAAATGAGAACATTTAGAACCTGTGAGCCTCTTCCTGGTCACTGTCTAGGTTTCTCCTCAGGGATTCCTTAGTCACTAAAATGATCAATGAACTTTGAGCAGTTGTTTTGGGAAGGTACTTGATTTGGAAGGTCATGGCTGTTTTTTTCTGAAGACTGTTTTAGACAGCTTGATATGATTTTAGGGCAAAAAGGGAAAAATATTCTTTTTGAATTTCTGCTTCTCTGTATACAGAAACAAGCCAAGTGAAAGACGTGTACTGAGTAATATATAATGAGACTCATTTCTATACTGTATTTATATACAATTATATGACTATGGAGCTCATATTTTAGTACACTTTCGTCTATGTGAGGACATCTATGTATTCATTGACATGTAGATATATACATATTCACAAACACAGAGAGAACTGTCAAATAATGTGCATATTAATTAACAAATTCTTACTGTTATTTCTTGTAGTTGCCGTGAGTGCTGAGCCTACACCTTGCTGGCATGAAAATGGTAGGTTTTTAGTATGCTTAGCTAACATTACAGCACTCTTCCTTTTGAATATAACAATATTCGAACTGCCTTGGATTAATTTAGAACTATCTAAATGTCTGGGTGTTACAGAATAGACAGTGATGTTTACAGCTACTGTGTCACTACGCACATCACAGCCACACAGTGAACAACTAATTCAAGTAAAGTGTAATTTAATGACGGGTACAGTGAGGTACCCTAACTTATTTTAACAAAGGAATTCACTTACTCATATGTCTATTATTTTTAACCACCAAAGATAGCAGGATAAAAGTTAAGTCCAAGTCTAAGTCATCTCGTTACTCATTAGTTACCGGCATTGATGGGTTCAGATTAACTGACTTCCAAGTTCAAGGGCCCTCTTAGTGGTTCTTTTTGAGAACAGTGAGTGTTGTTTTAGGTTTGAGTGAGGAGAGCTGTTAACTCCATGTAGGTCCCCAGCAATCAGTACCCACTACTCCCTCCTCAGTTACCTGTACTACGCTGTCTAACAAGCAGGTGGGACTAATAGAAAACCTCTTTTAGCTGTGCTGCAGCTTCAGCTCACGAGCACCTCTGCCTACTACACCTACCTTCTCCTCCTCCTCAAGAGTGCGATCCACCTGGCCATGGTCAGCTTCTCTCTGGCTAGAAGAACAGCTACCTGTGGCAATGAGAAGAGATCCTAAGGAAGTGAACGGTGGCACAACCAGTCAGCTCCTGTTCATTCTCCCTGTGAAATTGTGCCTTACGGGGCCCAGCTGGATTTTCTTGCTAACTTTGACCTCTGTAAAATCACATGCATTTCATTCTGTAATCACTCAAAAGTTTTCAGACTTTCATAAGCAATTCAAGCAACTTCTCTCTCTAACCAAGGATAGCTCCCTTCTGATTCTATCCTCTTCAGTAGTTCAGTGGTTCCCCGAGAGCCTGAAGCATCACAGCTCCAGTACACATAGCTTGCAGCTTCTACCCGCAGTACTTGTTGCCCTTGAGCCAGCTAACTCCCTGAAAGCCTCCATGCTAGACACCCTAAAGAGCCTTCTTTACTGCTTGAATTCTTGTACTTCATATTAGAGACAATAAATTCTTTTGAAAATCAGAAGTCTGCTTTTGTCAGTCTTTACTTTCATTTAATAACCACGAAAGACGCAGTATGACAACAGAACCATGGCATTCAGTGACGGTTGCTAACAAGAGTCCAAAATCACGTTTCTAATGTTGGTCTACAGTCTGTGGTTATGGCGTTTCTTGTGACAGCGGGTGTAGGCGGAACCACAGGCCATTGAATGAGCCATGAAATTGCTCTTAAAGGCCATCACATTTTGGGTATTTGGTTTTAGGCTTTCTCCTGACCATGAGCAGATATCTAATGTGACTCAAACTGGGCATGCTCAGCTCTGTGCCTGTTTTCATAGCAGCATGTTTGCTGACCCTCGAGCTGCTCCCTGGAAGCTACCAGAACTCCAGAGAGGAAAAGGGATGAAGGAGAGTGATCGCAGACACCAAACTCCAGTACCACAGCTTCCCTCTTTGAAATGAAGTCAGAATATTCTATCAGCTAGGGTTTTACACGTTAAATGAATTAGTAATAGCAACTACAAGCAAACTCTTGAGAGCTCTAATATAGGCCCTTGACCTTACCTTAGAGAGTGGATACCACACTCACACAAAAAAGCACCAAAATTATTTCAAATTTTCTCCATGGGGAGGGTGACAGAGTGCAATAGGATCATGTCTTGTACTACACAACAAGCAACCCCTGATCCTCTAACAGTCGTTTGAAATAGATACAATCATGGACCACAGTTTAGAGATTCCAGAACTAATCTCACTACTGAAGGTCACTGTTTTTAATCAGTACTTGTAACTTAAAGCCAGATTTCTCTGGTCTCGTGTGTGTGTGTGTGTGTGTGTGTGTGTGTGTGTGAGAGAGAGAGAGAGAGAGAGAGAGAGAGGAGTAGAGAGAGAGAACATCATTGTACTACATATCCTATATTTTTCAGTAATATTAAATCAAGACAACCTACAAATTATAAAAACATGCATTGTTTCCTTAGTAAAGTTAGTGATAATTTCCTTAAGGACTTGTGAGTTCATCTCTTTATTCCTCATGATCACTCCAGGTTACTGGTTTGTCGTTCTTTCTCACTCATCCTTCCTCTAGCTAGAAGCGCAATCTGCTCTAGAACTGTCATAATTGTGCCCCTTTCTGTAAGCTGGAGCAGCTATTCTGCTTTCCATTGAGCATTTGTCTTCGGTTTGAAACTGCTCTTCTAGGCAGAGCACTACTATAGTGGACTGTGAGCCTCAGGCACGGTAGATCCCTTAATGCTCTTATGTGGATATGAACAGCATCCTGAGACTCAGATTCATCCACAGACAGAACCATTTGTAGAAGGTTCTGGGAATCTAGGTAGTTTCTGATGCAGGAATGAGGTTATGCAACTTCCTTGGTCCATGACTATTATCACAACACAACAGCCTCAAGCAGGTAAGTACGTGATTGATTTTGTGGGAAGGACCCACATTTCAGATAGAATACTGGCTACTTTGCCTGGCTGTTCTTAGCTTTATCAACTTCTTTTCTGAGTGATAAAATCCGTGCCTATTTATGGAATCCTATGTAATGTTGAGTCCATACACATATTGAGTATTCTTTAAATCAAGGTCAGCACAGCTTTTTCCTAACCCATCCATTCATCATTTTTATGCCATGAGAATATTTGAACGTTTTTTCTTTGCTTTTTGAGATATACATCATATTATTATTTTCTAATGCCTTAGTCCCACACTAAAATTTATGTATCCTTAGAACAATGCTTAAATTTAAGTAATTTCAGATTTGCATGCAAAGTTACAAACCATGTAGATTACAACTGAATGAATTAATGTGGGAATCACAGATGTTGTGGTATTTTCCAGGCAGTGGACTAAGTATGTACCAGCTCAAGCAAGCAAACACACAGTAAGATAGACAGAGTGTCAGTGTTTCACACAGGGAAGCAATGGCAGGGAGGACTGTGGGGTCTCCTAAAGCTCCACACACAATGGCAGGTCTTGGACCTCACGAGGTTGGTGTGAGCGGTTCTGTTCTTATCCAGCACAGCATTTCTTTGTAGGAAGGAAGCTAATCTTCAAGAAAACCTTCTTTTGCTTTTAGTCTCAGAGTGGATGAAGGGAATCACCTCCTTATCTACACACATGTCCTCAAATTAGAGCTTATATTTTTTTTATTTATTTATTTACTTATTTATTTAGTATACAATATTCTGTCTGTGTGCATGTCTGCAGGCCAGAAGAGGGCACCAGACCTCTTTACAGATGGTTGTGAGCCACCATGTGGTTGCCGGGAATTGAACTCAGGACCTTTGGAAGAGCAGGCAATGCTCTTAACCACTGAGCCATCTCTCCAGCCCCCTAGAGCTTATATTTTTAACTTAAAATGAAAAGGCTTCAGGATTTGTCCAATCAACTTCAGTGTCTGTAAAACCAAGCAGAGGTTCCCACGGAGAAGGCGGGGAGACAAGAAGAGTCGGGCCTTTTAAGAAGATGAAATCTAATTTAGGCTTCCTCCCCAGTGTTCCTGAACTGACTAGACTTCTTTAGATCCAGCATCTAGCCTCTAAACAGAGACACTGTGTCTGCACAAGGAAACAGATGTCATGACCGGAAACTGACAATTAGCAACAGCCTTGTGGACCTGACATCACTGGCCAATAGCACCAGGCCTGTCTCATGTGGTGTTAACCCCCTTACCCCCTCCTGCTGGAGTCCACCTGGGCAGCCCTGAGCCTCAGCAGTGTGCAGAGAGAATGCTGGGGCAGGGGGATGGTGAGAGCATGTCCTGTGGCTAATAGCAGTTTTACTTTCTCAAGCTTCTTTTGTTTACCTACTCTGTCAATGTGGTTGCTTCCTGGAAAATGTTTAAACACAAACCACCAATGTTTGGGGCAGCACAAGGTGTGGCTAAGGTGTTAGAAGACAAAATAGCAGCAGTTAAACCACAGCTAGCTCTACTTGCTTTCAAAAGACCACAGCTATTGGAGAGAAAACCTCCAACTCCACATACCGGAAGTGGACCGGAAACTCAGTCTCTGTGCTGATGGATGCTGGGCTTGTGCTTGGTGCTCACAGAGCTCAGTTGCAGTGGGGATTGGAATCTGTTCCCAGAACTGAGTAGACACTTTATCCAGCAGAAACAGAGGAGAGATGTAGCCCCAAGATAGTTTTAGCGTTCCATCAAGGGTCTGTTCTTTTGATTTAAGATCCCAAGGAGTTTTTTGCTTCATTTTCTTAGTGGAAGAAAAGGAATAAGGCTGTGTCCTGATCCAAGTAGCATAGGAAAATGAAGACACGGCAAGAACAATGTACTCTAGGAAGTCACAGAAGGCCCTGAGCTCAGTGGTGTTAAAGTCATCCACTGCATAGTAGTTCCACCTCGGGAGAGAAGCGTTATCAGAGTCACCTGAGAAAGGCTTAGTTGAAGATATTAGCGTGAGTATTAGATAAACGAGAGAGTAGACTCAGATGCTCAGAAATATGAACACAGAAAGAAAACATCTCCAACCCTGGCCGCACAGGCTGGACACAGAGTGGGCAGCAGGTACTTGGCCTCATTTGTCCAGTCCCAGGAAAGCCTAAGTATAGATGGAACATCCGAGGCTAGCTTTAACAGTCTGATGTCATGGAACACTTGAATCAGATACTGCCATAATCTTGTGTGTAATCAGAGGCACTTTTTAAACCAGGCTGGGTGCCCCCTAGGAGGATTAGCTTCATCTATTGGCTCTGCACAGCTGTCTAGGGAGCAAGCACTCATCTCAGCTTAAGCTGATAAAATGGATGATGTCTTGCTTAGCCATAGCTGTGGGCTTTGAGTATGTGCAGCTCTATTACTGAGACAGGAAATTGTCATGGAGCCTAAGTTTCTGTACCAAGACAAACACTGGGGAGTTCCCTCCACTCTTTTCACTATGAGTAGCCCTTGCCTGCACTCCAGCCTCCCAGTGGGACTGCTGATGTGGGCTCACACACAGAACAGCAAAGACTCAGGACGGAATCTCCACCCACACCTGCATCATCTCTGCTCTTCAGTTCTCCTTTCTAGAAAGACAAAGCTAATGGTGGAGACTCACAGGCTGCTTCTCTGGGAGGCAAAGGGTGAATTGCACATTTGGAAAAATAGTTCATGATGTATATTAGTTCCCCTTTTAATCAAATGAGTTTGACAGTCAGAAAACTGACAGTGCTTTTCTGGGACTCTTTTTTTCCCAAATAACAGGACTTGGAAAACTACAGGACACATCATAAGGTTTTACATTAAAAATAATATGTTAACATTTTACATTATTCTCAATCTCTCTTCGTCCCCATTTCATATTTCTTTTTTATTTTTGCATTTAGTATTTCTATTGTTTTTCTTGTGCTATACATTTTTTATCTGCTCTCCTTCCTTCCTCCCCTCTTCTTTTCTACCCTCTTCTGTGACCCACATGCTCCTAATTTACTTAGGAATTCTTGTCTTTTTTCCCCTTCCTATTTAGATCCATGTATGCCTTTCTTGGGGTCTTTTTTGTTGTCTAGGTTCTCTGGGGTTGTGAATTTTAGGTTGGTTTTTCTTTGCTTTATGTCTAAAAGCCACTTATGAGTGAATACATATGATATTTGTCTTTTTGGGTCTGAATTTACCTCACTCAATATGTTTTCTAGATCCATTCATTTGCCTGAAAATTTTAAGATGTCATTATTTTTACCTCCAAGTAGTACTGCATTGTGTAAATGTACCACATTTTCTTTATCCATTCTTTTTTTAAGGGGTATCTAGGTTGTTTCCAGCTTCTGGCTATTGCATATAATGCTGCTATGAACAAAGATGAGCACATGTCCTTGTGGTATGAATGAGCTTCCTTTGGGTATATACCCAAAATTGGTATTGCTGGGTCTTGAGATAGAATGTTTCCTAATATTCTGAGAAATTGCCAAAATGATTTCCAAAGCCACTGTATAAGTTTGCACTCCCCCCCAGCAATGGAGGAGTTGTCCCCTTTTCCCACATCCTCTCCAGCACA